GGCCACAGCTCAAAAATGGGAGCGGCACCCCCAGGGCCTTCCCTTGTGGGGAGCAGCAGGATGGGGCCAGGCTCCCCGGGCAGGGTGGGGGGCACAGCCGGTGACATTCCGTGCCCGGTCCCCGCGTGTCCCCGCAGCCCCCGTGACATTCCGTGCCCACCTGTGGGACCACCCGGACCTGCCGCGGTGGCTGCGCTTCGTGCAGCGGGACCCGGGCCAGCCCGGCTTCCTGTACGGCTGCCCGCTGGCCCCCGAGCTGGGCACCCACCGCATCCAGGTACGGCCCCCGCGGGGTCTGGGGTGACCCGGGGGCAGGGCTGGCCCATCCCAGGTGTCCCCGTGTCCCCTCAGGTGCTGGCCTACAACCGGCGCACCTTCGCCACCGCGTCCCGGCTCCTCCTCATCAGCGTCACCCCCGCCCCAGGTAAGGCCGGAGCGCCCCGAACCGCCGGGCCCTGCCCAGGGGTGTCCCCGAGGGTGCCACCCGTGTCCCCGCAGGTGGGGACGCACCGTTCCAGGCCGAGTTCCTGGTGGGGAACAGGAACGTGGAGGAGCTGCTGCCGGAGGCGGCTCGGGAGCTGTTCCTGCAGGCTTCGGCGGGGCTCTGGGAGCGCGGGGACCTGACCCTCATCAATGTCACCTCGGCCCTGGACCGCGGCGGCCGCGTCCCGCTGCCCATCGAGGGCCGCAGGGAGGGGTACGGCGGGGCCTGGGGGGGCCGGGGGGGTTCCCGGGACATCCTCGGCCTCCCCGCGGGGGTTTTGGGGTGGCACGAAGGGTGGAGGTGAGCGTGCGGGGTTTTCTCACCGCGGGCGGGTTTCGGGGTGCCCTGCCCCGCAGGGTGTACGTCCAGGTGGGCTCGCACAGCCCCTTCTCGCCGTGCCTGGTGTCGGCCGTGTCCCCCCAGAGCCGCTCCCGCTGTCACCGCGGCCAGCGGCCCCTCGCCTCCTGCTACGACACCTTCGCCCCGCACTTCTCCATCCGCTGGTGCAACCTCACCCTGGTGAGACCCCCGGAGTGTCCCCCCGCCCCCCGGAGCCCCCCCAGCCCCTCCTGACCCCCCTTTCTCTGCAGCTGCAGGTCTGGCCCAGCCCCAGGACGCCGGGGCCGGAGTGGGGGTCGGGGGTGCTGGAGGAGAGGGGCGGATTCGAGCCCCCCACCGGGGCTGTTCCCCGGGAGCTGCTCCCCGCTTTCCTGGTGACGCTGCTGGTGCCGCTGGCCGTGGCCGCGCTGCTCTGCTTGCTCCTGGGCCACCTCATGTGCTGCCGCAGGGAGGGACTGTGAGTCTGGGGTCCCCCCACCCTGCCAGCACACGGGGACCCCGGCCCGGCTGTCCCTTCCCCCCCGCCGGGACCCCGGAACAACCCGGGCGTGGTGAGAGCCCTTCTCACCCTAATTATCGGGGTTTTCCCTTATTTAT